TTTAGCTTTTTAGGGGCGAATATGTCCTAGCATAGATTTCAACATTTGATTTTTGATGGGCAATTGACCATCACAACTAAAATGATGATATGGCTAACTACCTTCCTTGGACCGAGTTCCTCAGAGCTAAGTGAGCTACTATCCCTAGCTCATTTATCTTAGCTTGTGCTACACCATAAATTGGGCAACTACATTAACTAATCAGCTAACATCTATGTTAGCTACTCAGCCATGTCATCTGCACAGTTTAGAATGAAAGTAGGATGAAGGATGAAGTCCAGCAGATACAGAGAAAGGTCGGCATCACTCTTCATGTCCTCCAGCTACCCTGGCTCTCTTTTTATTCTCTTTTAGTTCTAGATCCACCATGTTTTTGTTTTCAATTTCTGTTTTTGATCTTTTTCCTGGTGTGTATTAAGTAGTGATGCAACTGCTAAATTTGTTGTTATTTTCTATTTTTTATGAAGAAAACCTACTAGATGCTGCATTTGGCCAACCCACAACTCAGATTTGTAGATTCGCATGCACATGTATAGCGCTTGGGGCAGCCATAGAGACTGGATTTTTTTGCCCTGAGCATCTGTTTTATTGACAGCTGTTGGAATGTGAAGAGAATCTCAACAATTATAAAAACATGTTTTGACTTCAAAATCACTAACTCCGCCTTTAAGCTGTGTTTTAGACAGTGCCTACAGGTATTACCATTAAAACCAAAGACTTGGAGAGGTTTAATATTGCTGTCAACAAAGAGAGATACTAAACTCTAGACTTCCTTGTACTGTTTAATTAAATAATTAAAATACAATACTGTTTACTTTTTTATGTACAATATCATATTAGGTGTACATTATAATAGTTTGTGCTGTTTCTTTAAGACGTCAAGATTTTTGTGAAAGATTTGAATCATGGTTTCTTCTCTTTTTCTTCCAAGCTAAGTAAGACATGGAGGGAAAACCTTATCGCACCCCTATCACACCATCTAAAACATTGCATTTGAAAGGCAACAATAAAATCCCATGAGTCAGTCCTCTGGCAGTCAGAGACCCCAGGGCACTGGCCCCCACAGACTCAACAGTCCATCCCTGTAAGATGTGTGAGTGTGAAGATCCTTTTAAAGGTGAAAGAACTTCCATATAATGTAAAGGTTCTATAGGAATTAAAGTTATAAAACCGTGCATCCATGCATTTTACTGTGATTTAATAAGCTAATGCATATTGACCTATTATGACTAAGCAACATTACTAAAAAATAAAAAAAAAGAAAAAGAGACATCTTTAACTCATTTTCCCAGCAAAGATAACCACAAATACCCCTCCCTCCTCCAACAACATTAGCATCTGCTCCGACCATAATGCAGTAGCGTCCATTATTTAGCAATTAGAGAGTGGCTTATAAGTCGAGGGATAATGCAAATCTAATGAGCTAAAAATTGTATGGCTTTAAATAGAAGGCTAAATTATCGCTGTGAGTGATGTTGATCTAAACAGAACGTAGGCAGACTCATCAGAGCAGAAATCATAGTGGATTATTAGTTGTTATTAATTTCAAAGAAACAGGTGGGTGATTAAAAAGCTACCGTGATCTTTCAGAAATGTAGGCCTATTTACCATCAGAATGCAGTGCCCACAGATCTGGACATAATTCAGCTCGCAGTAGACCTGTGAAGTGCGTCACAGTGTAGTCAGCGTCACGCTCGTGTTAGGTCTAAGCTGGGTGATGTAGGGGAAAAATGAATGGAGCTTTTGGAAATCACCACTATTGTGCCCTGTGGTAAAGAAAAATGTTCCAAATCTTCATACATTTTTCCCAAGACGTAATTTTGAGGTTTTTTTCTGTTAAATGAACTTAATTAAACAGTAACAACATCTGCACAGTCTTTCAGGGGTTCTAAAATACTTTTTTGGAAACAGATCAACTAGGAAGTCTTATATAATCCATGAAATGCATGCAGTTTAATGTAAACCTTGTTCCTTACACAGTTCACAGAACGGTGTGTAAATGTGCTCTAGCAGAGCATACTGTGATCAGTCTCAGCTCTCAGAACTTTTTTCCCCACATAATATCATGTTTTGCTTTAGTGTTTTTCTGTACAGATTATTTCCAATGATGTAGCCGAGTCAGCTCAGAAATATGCTCAGGTTGTGACAGCAAAAATGCGAAAAAGTAACTAAGTAACTCAAGTACTTATGTCGTTTTTCAATAAACTACTTATTTACTCTTACTAGAGTCATTTTATTTACTAATACTTTTACTTGTACTTGAATTAATTATACTACAGTAACAGTACTTGTACTTAATTAGGGATTTTCAGTACTTTTTACACCCCTACAAACTGCTACACCAAAAGCAACTTAGCTTAAGATCATAGTGCAGCAATGTTAGCTTGCATTCAGCAATGTTCACATTTCAACTCCTTAACAATTTCGTAATGTACAGGATCCAGCCATATTCAGGGACAAATGTACATACAGCAAAACATATCAGGTTTTTGAACATTTTTGTTTACTACAGAGCGCAACTGCAGTAATGTTTGAAAAACTCCATTCATTTTTCCCATAGAGAAAAACTGCTTAGACCCAGAGTTCCTAATATGGGCATGATGATGACAACAGAGTGAGGACATGACACCAGAGGTCTATGCACATCAAAAAACAAGAATCTAAGACTGGGACAGCCAAACTGGGGGCCAAAGTGAAATATCTGTGGTGTCCAAAAACGACAAACACTATACAAACAAAGAAAGGATGTAGGTTTAAACTGTAGTTTGTAAACATGTATTTTACAACATTGTACTATTTTTGTTACTACTTAAAAAATACAATTTTAACAGGAAAACCAGAATGCAAGCAATTACATACACCACAAAAACATTTTTTTTCATTGAATGAGGGGGTGGGGTCCAAATCTGTCCTGTGAGCCACACTTTGGGCAGCCCTGATCTAAAACATCTGCCTTATTTTCGGAAACCAAACGCATATAATGCGGCAGAATTAATCACCATTAGAAAAAAAACAAACAAACTGACAAATCAAATCTTGATTGAGACGTTCCTGTCAGCATCGTAATGCTCTCAGATCTCCTCTACGCAGAAATGAGATGAGGATTATTAGAGAAGGCCTATATAAGGCAAACTCATAATTAATTGGCGCTGTGTGTCAGAGCGCTGCATTTCTTCAGCGAGCATCCTGCTGCTGTCAGTGTGACAGAGGAGACTGTGATGCAATAGCTGCACTATGTTTCCTGGATACAAATCTCATTCTTTACACTAATCAGACACACAGCCTGGAACTAATCCAAATTAAAAATCTGCCTGCGTTACGAAAACGCCGTGATACAATACACGTTAATACTACTCGCGATGCCATTATCTTGATTGCTCTGATTTTGATTGCTGATGGACAGTCTGTGTGTCTGAAGTCTGCTTTCAAAGGCGTTCAGAAGGAGGTGAAGGTGTTTTTGTGAGAACAGTGTATGTCAGGTGCTGTTTAGTGCACAGTTTTAGGGATCTTTCAGTCCTCTTTGAAGACGCACAGCTCCAATTATCCACGGCTGGCCTAAAGGCATCCCACATCCACAAGTGTGCTGGAGGTAAACAGTTTGCTTTATTGCACTAATTAAGAAAAGCGCTGAGAATTTAGAGCGCTGTCAGGGAAATTGCTGGGTTGGAAAAGAGAAGGATGTTCTGTGTGAATCACCTTGAGGTGTTTGTTGTCTATCTATTTATCTGTCTATCTATCTGTCTATCTATTGCTTCAAAAACATTCTCACATTATCCCACATAGCTTTTTATGCCTCAAAGTTCAGCTGTTGATGGCTTGAGCTTGAAACATTTCAGTGCAGTTTATTCAGGTTTTATTGCTGTTGAATTCTCTTTGGAGCAACATGAACAGTCTTCATTCACTGAAATGTACTTTCATTCATTTTTATCCATTTTAGATAAACCGGTTACTTAAAGAAGGCACAAATACTTCATATATCGTTAATATATTTTCAGTTTGTAAGTCAAACAACCCCTTTGGTTCATGATTCTTTGAGTGAAGACTCCAATCCACAATGTTCCTCCTCCTGAAGAACTTCACCAGCCCTGATTTCCTTCAAGATCTCCAGATGACGCACAAAAAGGAGAGAGGCAAACGCCAGAGAAGCCCTCAGCCTCATCTTCAGGCACGGTTTCCCAGCCAGTCTCTGGCAGTAAACCTGTTGATGGATGGGGATGCCAAAGGAGCGAATCCCACAAGTCCAATTACCGCTGCTGTGAAACGTTCACTCCTACAATCCGCTGTCGTTTTCCCTGTCTGTAGTGGTGGGGAAACAACAGTGACTCGCCAAAAAACCGAGCCAGATGGTGCAGATCTCCTCCAGAACTGCATGAGGAGATCAGTGGAGAAGCGGGGATGTGGAATAGCGTCGGTGTCTAACACCGCACACAGCTGTCATGTACAGCAGGAAGCGTTAGCTCTAACGGAGACGCTGGATCTGCGCTCACTCTCTAACTGAGCCAGGTTCCTCCAGTCATTCAGGAGGAAAAGGCATCGTAGTAGTGAGTAGCAGCTCGATCAGGCTCGAACTGTGCTTTTAAAAAGCCTATCGACGATTAAAAGCATCGATTTCCAAAGATCGATGAGACCCTGAACGCTCCAGTCAACACTCAGCACTAGTTCACCTTCTCTACTTCACTTACTGCCGTTTACGCACTTTATCTCCAGTCCATCTACTCATCTGCTCCACTGCAGCAGCAGCAGCCTCGCCGACTTTCCCCGCTTCAGTCAAACAACTGACCGGACTGGATCTGCTAAAACCTGACGTACAAAGCGCGTTCATGAGCGTCTGACTTGAGAAGCGAACCAGAAGCACTTAGTTTCTGACGAGCGGCCACTTAAAAACACGCGTGTTTTCAGTGAAGCAGCATCCGCGCTCGGCGCTCTCAGAGCGGCCAGGCAGTCTCGCCTCAGCGCCGCTGCCTTCAGCCACTAACTCCGGATCAACTTTAACGCCTTACCTTTAGGCAGAACGGCCGCTGAAACCAGGCAGATGAAGAGTGGAATAGAGAGAGATCCGCTCCCCGAGCTCGCCATGTTGAACACCTGCTTCAGACTGGCGGCGCTAAATCACCTAGAGACGGAGCTCAGGATAATGAGATGCGGGGAAGGGAGGGAGGGAGGGAGGGAGAGAGGGGAGAGGGGGGAAGGGAGGGGGCGATGAAGGGAAAGAAGATACTCACTAAAGTGGCCGTGCCTACATTCACTGTTGTCACGAAACTGAACATGTTTGGCACAGTTTAGTTCCAACCCTGATCTCCACTACATCCAGCCGAGTGATCTCCTCAGAAGATCCTGATCAGCTCGGAGAGGAGTGTTAGATCTCCAGGTTGGTGACCGCTGGACTAGTCCATCCACTCCCTGACACAGAAGTCAACTGCATTTCACGTTGTGATTGAAACACATGTTCACAAGTCAAGACATATGACGTAATGGTGATAATGTGATTACATGTGATTTAATGTGAATAATGCGATCACATGTGACATAAAGTGGATAATGTCATCATGTGTCACAATGTGGATGATGTGTTCACATGTGATATAATGTGGATAATGCGATCACATAGGACACAATGTGGATAATCGATCACATGCAACAGTGTGGAAAATGTGATCATGTGATATAATGTTTGATACACAATCACGTGACCTAATGTGAATAATGTGATCACATGTGACGTACTGTAATTGACCTATGATCACGTGACCTAATGTGAATTATGTGATCAAGTGATGTAATAATATATAAGTACAAAATATACGATCATAAGTGACACCTTGCAAATAATTTGTGGTCACCTGTGATGCAGTGTGATCACATGTGACATCATGTAAATAATATGTAATCATGTGACATAATGTGGATGATCACATGACAATGTGAAAAATGAAATGAAATTGGGCGTGATTGATATATGATCACATGACTTAATATGAATAATGTGATCACATGTGGCACAATGTGAATAATACATGATCACATGACATTGAAAAATTAAATCACATGCGACCTAATGTAATTAATGTGATCACATGTGACAATGTGAGCATGTGATGTAATAATACATATATAAATAATACACGATTGTGACACCTTGTAAATATGTGATCACACGTGACATAACGTGAACAATATGTGCTCACATGTGAATAATGTGATTACATGTGACACATTACACTACAAAATTGCACATGTGCAAAGTCTAAATGAATGAATCATGATGTGAGACATTCATACATTTAAAAAAAATATGTATCACATGTGAAAATCCAACATGTGGAAAAAGATGTAAAAATCTTTAATTCAGTTCTTTTTACAGTGATATGGGAGGTAGATAAATGGAGCATTAATGCTTAGGGAGTCACTGTGTTTTTTTCAGTCAGGTTTGAGCTATAAGGTCTCAGACAGAGGTCTCTAATCATATTAGTCAGGTCTAAGCTTGAATATAGAAAGCTGCTGGCCATTTGAAGCTGGAACGCACAGCATGGCACGTAAAGGCTGACCAATGAGAAACTAATTGTCCGAAGAGGAAAGTTACACAACAGGCGATCATTTCATACACGAACAGCGCCCCCTGTGTTCATGAGGAGGAGCTGCACTCTAAATAGCAGAGAGAGGAAAACACTCAGAGCACAAACACATAAAGCTGCCGTGATTCCTTGTGCAAAGGCTTTTACACACACTTCACATGTAGGTCATTAAAAGGAAAAGAAGAAAACCACACATGTTCTTGTTTATGTACAGTTGTCAATAATATAAAATCCAATTTTTGAATATTGAAATATTGAATAAAACCTCTCATATCTTCTGTTGTCTTGCAGTTTACAGTATTCAGTCTACACTATATGTTATTAATAAATAATTAATATAATTTTTTAGCAAAATGTGCAATTACACACCTGCCTGGCCTGCAAACTGAATAAAACTTCTCATGTAAAATATATGCTATTCAGCACTGCCATTATATTGCAGAGTGATTATAGCTGCTCAATGAGTTAACTGAAGCATAAATTCTGATCAGTACTGGTCAACTGCACTGCTGGACTGATTCAGAGATATGTATGCTTAATGACACTTCACATCTTAATAACAATAATAATCTTTTTTTTCACTCTTAGTGTATCACACAAGATGAATATTAAGTCATTTGACTTTGTTGTTTGTTGTTATATAATAACTTCCATTCTTTTCAGGAGACTTGCTTTCAGATGTTAGAAAAATCTGCAGGGATATTTTTCTACACCACCAAAGTTCAGTCTTAGAAGCTGGTTGCGCTTTTTGCTTCTCACCATCCAAGTAATCCCAAACATATTCAGTGAAGTTGAGGTTTGGACTCTGGGGTGGTCAGTCCATTGTTCTGAGAACATTAGCAGCTTCTTTGTTTGATAAGTACATCTTGATCTTCTCAAGATTGCTTTGCTGTTGAGTGAATTTCTTCCCAGTCAGACATTTTCCAGTGAGTACTGCACAATGTATTGAACTTTATTTGTACTGATGATGAATTAGATAATGAATGAGAATGAAAATGGAAAAAACTAAAGGGTGACCTTCTGCACAGTAGTCTGTATGTTTGGTGTTAAAATGACCAAGAAAGCTGTGGAGCATCAAGAATGAAACTATAATTAATAAATATTAATTAAAAAAAAAATTATTAATAACTGAACATTTAGAATACCTTGTAATTGAAGTAGTGATTAAATCTTGAGGCTAATAACTTGACAAAAATATTTTAACTAAAAAATGCTAGTATAATATTTAGTAATTCATGCCTTGTTGTTCCAAACTCAAAATATTAAAACCTTTTGGTATTTTGTTTATTATATTTAAGTCTGCACTGTAGAAGTTAATATTGTATAGAAAATGACTAGATTATTCAAATGGAAAGTCTTCTGGACTTTTGAATGGTGTTTACTAACGGCACTTAAAATCCTAAAAATAATAATAATCAACATTTGTTTGTTTTTTTTTAAAAAGTTCTGAGTCCTGTATAGAATGCTTAAATGGTCCTTTCCATGATGAAATGGTTCTTTTGACTGAGAACGTGTTGTATATGGTTCTATGTAGAACCTTTTCATAGGTTGGATGAAGATTTGAAGATTGGATGGAAAACGGCATCTTTAACTACACTCCTTAAAAAAGATGGTTCTTCAAGGGTTCTTTAGTAAAAGGAATGATTCTATTTAGAACAATGAGTTCTATATAGAACCGTTTGCATGCTTGAATTGTTCTTTGCATGGTGAAAAGGTTCTTCTAACTTACAGACTTATGGGTTGGATATGGCTGTGTGTAGAACCCTTTTGAAAGTTGGATGAAGATTTAAAGATTGGATGGAAAACGGAATCTTTTAACTACAACTGATTCTTCAAGGGTTCCTTAGTAAAAGAAATGGTTCTATTTAACCTTGCATGCCTAAATGGTTCTTTGAATGGTCAAAAGGTTCTTCAGATTGATGAAGAACGTATTGTATATGGTTCTTTATAACACCAGAGAGTTCTGCTGTTGTTATGATGTCAAGCTTGAAGCAATGAAAGAAACTTTTTCGGTGCTATATAGAACTATATACAACACATTCTCTATCAGTCTGAAGAACCATTTTACCATGCAAAGAACCACTAAGCATGAGACCGTCCTGTAGAACCATTGTCTTTACTAAAGAACCCGTGAAGAGTGCAGTTAAAAGATTCTACTTTCCATCCAATCAAAAATGCGGAATATTGATTTCAGCAAATGTTGTGAAACAGTAAAATGACAGATCTTCAAGTGGCTCACATGAAGACATGGTTCCAATTTCCTGATTCATACGCTTGCAGCGGGACTTAAGATACTGCTGCAGAGATGAGCCATCATGATTGCTGCGCGGTTGCACTTGCGATTAATCTGAAGTTTAGAATGACATTTGAAGTTGACTTTATCAAGCATTACATCCTGATAGCTCTCTATATTTGGTGTACCATCTGTCAGCTGTAGCGCGAGCGGAGCCAGTCCTCCTTTACACTACTCTAGTTGTTCTAGTTCTAGTTGTTTACCAGAAAAAAATCTTATGAAAAATTCATGACAAAATAATTATCCTTGATGAAAAAGGGTAGTGAGCACAAAGACATTACAGCTTAATTAGATACGCAAATTCTATTACGTATTAATTATGTTCTATGCAGCTTATCTCTGGTTTGAGATATCATTGCCAAAGTTTAATTAAGAAGTACTTTTTTTAGAAGTTAGATTTGTTTTCACATTAGTCATTCATAGATATGAATATAGTGTAAATGTCAGATTACAGGAAAACAGAAGAACACACAAACAAGTTTTCAGTAGAAATGTTAGAGTCTATTTTTTAGACCAGCCAAATGGAGACAGTGCACAAATAATTCACTGATGTACTCAGTCCAGTGCTTTGAACTGGTGTCTGATGACACCCTGGCATGAATTTTGACTTTTTCACAGTTCGGTTACAACAAATCTTGGAATTACATCCCAGTAGCAGGTCGGTATGTGCAAGCATTTACGTTTTTCAAAGGAACTAACATAGCATGTATAAGGAATCAAGATTAGTTGGGGAAAAAAGACACACTGTTGTTCAAAAGTATAAAACTAAATTTGTTGGGGATAAATGAATAACAGGATCGCAGTGTTCAACTTCACAGGTTTTAAATAATTAATAGAAAGCTAGAAGGACAAAGGAAAGGTTATATGTGTCCAGAATGATGGACAGAGCTGTACAGTTCACAGTACTGTGGAACAGTCAGAGCCAACACTCTCATTTCTGTCATTTCCAGCCAAATGGCCATTAAATACAAGTTAGCCATTATTCAGCATAAGGAAGAAAAGTAGAATATGTATTTAATATTTAACTCAACAACTGAATATAATGTATCATATATCATATATTTCAGTATTTAGTGAGTTCACTCTCTGCCTTTATTGCAGCTTCCATTCTTTTCAGGAGACTTGCTTTCATATTCATAAAGAAATCTGCAGGGGTATTTTTCCACACTTTCAAAGCTCAGTCTTAGAAGTTGGTTACATTTTCTGGTTCTTGTGATCCAAGTACTACAAACACTTTCAGTGATGTTGAGG